GTAGCCCGCCGAGTCTCGCTTGGCCCCAGGGCGCACCCGGCTTCCGAACTTCGCTTTCCGGGCAAAAAGCCATTGTTCTGGCCCAAAGGGGGAAGTTGGGACGGAGCGGGGCGACCGCTTCCTGCCCCCACCTCCGAGGGGCGCTCCTGTGGGGCGCGCAGGGCTCTACCCGCCCTCCGCCTTTTTGAACTTGGTCTCCGGCTCATGTCCTGTTTTGCGCGGGAGCAACAGTGCCGGGGGAGGGGCGGGGGGGGCGGGAAAGGAATGGAAGACAAAGTACGGGGGTGGGGAGCGGGGGCAGCGAAAACGGAACAGCCCCGCTTTCTTTACCCCAAAGACTAGAGAGGAAAATGCATCAACTGAAAACGCGAACTGGTTTGTGTTCTTACTGTTACGTTTCATAAAGAGTGGAACCCAGCCCCCAAGTTTTAGGGCGCAAGTAGGGAGAAAAGCAACTGCGCCTTTCGGAAGACAAAGTACGGGGGTGGGGAGCGGGGGCAGCGAAAACGGAACAGCCCCGCTTTCTTTACCCCAAAGACTAGAGAGGAAAATGCATCAACTGAAAACGCGAACTGGTTTGTGTTCTTACTGTTACGTTTCATAAAGAGTGGAACCCAGCCCCCAAGTTTTAGGGCGCAAGTAGGGAGAAAAGCAACTGCGCCTTTCCTTAATGTGTTTCACAATTTTGATTCAATGAATGTGGGGGGCGGGAGCGAGATTAGTTGCGGTTCTAACGCAGGACTGCCATTAATGGGCCCGCCAGCATTTGGAAGTCTGTCTCGGATCAATAGCACGCGGCAGAATGACTGGACCGCTTTGGGAAGTGGGGTGGCAGGCTACCCTTTTATTTTCTGTTATTAAGATCTGTAGTCCGTTAAACAGTTTCCCCTCTTAAGTCATTTAGATCTCGAATCAGAGGGAGTCAAACGCATGATAAAGGAGGTAAACGTCAGCCTTAACTTTTCTGCATCAATACAATTTAATTCAATGAAAATTCATTTTCTGGTTTTATGTCTTCCTTGAACGCAGCTGCAAAGTACTCACTGTTGAGCAAATCAAAAAGTCGTTTCTTGTTGCAAGAGGCTGTGTCTCAATGTAATTTTGATCATTAAAACCATGTTTATAAAGGATTCTGCAGGAGAAATGTATTTTGTTGTTTTAATAGAAGGGCCTACTATAGGAAATTCGGAACCACAGGAACCCATCTTTCCCATTTCTGGCTCGTTTTCCAGTTTATTTGGTTAAATAGGTTACATTCATCTGATATCCTGGAGAGAACTTGGGTCATGACTTTGGCACACGGTATTGTTTGCAAAGGAGGTGGGAAGAGGGAAGATTCGCCGAGGGCGGGGGAGAAAGGATTGCTTCCTTGGGAAGGGCCGCCAGCCCTGAACCCTCCTTTTGGGATAACACCAGCACTCCTGGGGTGGAGGAACCACTTTCAGTCACTCTCCAGCTCTTTTTGTGGCCCCATCTCGTGGAGCTAGGCAGTCAATTGTGGGGCTGAGGCCAAAGGTTTATTTATTGTAATCGGACAAATAGCTGGATCAGCTTCAACTTGCGTTTCCTTGCAGAATTTATCTTGGGCGTGAGGTTTTTGCCCTGGAAGATTCCAGTTTCCACTTGGTGATATGTGGTAGCCTGGATACTTGCTTAATTGTTTTTTTATAAGAAAAGAAAGCTTAAAAAAGGAAATCGTTCCTCTAAAAATAAATTTGTCTAGAATTCAATCCTAACCCAGCGAGGGAAAAATCAGTATCTTGGAAGGTTTAACACGTACATCGTTATGTCCAACTATGAACACCCAGTTTGGGTAAAATAATGTTTAGATGATTTATTTGGAGCAATAAATGTGACAGACCTGAGTAGAACTACATAATCAGATAAATAGAGTGAGGTTATGAAGTCGGCAGAAGCAAGGAATAATTCCAGCTAAATTGTGTCAAAACATGGATTTGGGCTAATGCAGATTCTGTCTTCTGTTTTGATTGTCACATGTAAGAATTGTTACGACAAGTTAGAAAAACTGTTTTCTTATTCACTCAGTAAACAGTTACTTGGCATTTGTAGCCACCTAGGCTTTCGCTTGGAGAGTCCGCAGCAGCGCTGCCTAATGGAACTTTCAGAGATGATGAAAATGCCTTTTGTCCCCACTCTCCAATGCGGCAGCCACCAGCCATCTGTGGCTAGTGAACCCTTGAAATGTGGCCCGTGTAACCGAGGAATTGAATTTTTAAGTAAATTTAAATAACCACATGTAGCTAGTAGTCACATACTGGACAGTGCAGGTTTATAGGCATGCGAAGGATGCATTCTAAACCTATTTTAAACAAAAGTAATGCAGTTCCTTAAATTAACCTTGGAACGTGAATAGTTTACGTACACTCCCATTTATGCTTTATTAAATGTGAGGATGCTTAGAACATGTATACGATAAAGATATTAAAAATATAGGGATCTGGGGGTACATTCAGACTAATACTTTAATGCCACTTTCTACGCAACTGACAAAGTCAGTGGCGAATATTAACTTGTCTATGTCTGGAATATCGCTAGGAAAAGATAGGACTGTTCATGCTGCTCTGTGGATCGGAACCGAGGTGAGGAGTGGGGTGACGTGAGGAGTGGCCCACGTGATGGTGTCACTCCCAGGTCGGGGGAGGAGTCGGGAGTCGAGGGGAAGCAGTACCCTTCCATCTGTCAACTTTGGCAGTGAAACTAAGAAACATTGGTTGCATCTTACAAAACAGTTTCAGGACAGCTCTTAGTTTTCCTACAAATACTCTATTATAGCCAGCGGAATTGACTAAAAGGAGTAACCAACACATCCCAATGAGGTGCAGCCCCCAAAGTCTGCATGGGATAAACTCTGTAAATGTAATGCATTGTACAATCTTTGAAGGTTAATGGTATAGTTTGTCCCCACCCAGGTGCCCTCACATTCGGGAGACCGAGGTGTGACTCGCAGGCTAGCCCTGTCATGTGATGCTGATTCTGCATATGTAATGGATAAATGCTATACATACATGGCACAGTGTTTATGTATCAGGACTCAAGTGAAAATAAGCACAGTTAGGGTGCTTGCGGGAGTTCTCAAGCTTCCGCTTTGCCTAAGAACCCCCCAGGCACACATGCAAATATCGACCCCTGGACCCTAGCAGAGATCCTGACCCAGGTGACCCCAGAGGCGGTCTGCAGCAGGCACTGTGTGGGACTCGTCTTACCAAGGGTGACCTGTCCCAGCGCTCCTCTGACTGATGAGGACAAGGAATCCCGAAGTGGACGCCTGAGGTCCGGGGCGGTGGAGCCCTTCCCTGCCGTTTCCGCCGTGTGCCTGGTGGGGGCAGCAGCCACGTCTGGGAGCAGTGCCGCCCTCCAGGATTAAACGGGGCAGCGGAAGCCCCGCGGGTTCCTGGGACCCGCCCCAGGCCACCTAGCCGACTGCACAGCCCCCGGAGACCTTCACAGACGGAGCTCCCGCGGATCCTGGGGACAGGCGAGGACAAGAGACGCTGTTACAGGGGGCGGAAACTGGCGTTAAGCGAGCCCTTCGTGCTGTTGCGTTGGAGA